GGGGAAGTCGGCAATCTGCGAGACTCCGGAGAAGCCCGCCGCAGGCGCCAAAGTTTCACAAATTATACAACTAGCCCGCCGCAGGTTCCGATTTTTTCTTCAAACCACTGTGGATCGGTCGCGAATGGGTCGCGGGTGGATCGCGGGTGGGTCGCGGAGTGGGTCGCGGAGTGGGTCGCGGGTGGGTCGCGGGGTGGGTCGCGGGTGGGTCGCGGGGTGGGTCGCGGATGGGTCACGGGTGGGTCACGGGTTGGGCGCGGGGCGGGTCGCGGGTGGGTCGCGGGTGGGTCGCGGGTTTGGTCGCGGGGTGGGTCGCGGGTGCGTCGCGGGTGGGTCGCGGGTGGGTCGCGGGGTGGGTCGCGGGGTGGGTCGCGGGATGGGTCGCAGGGTGGGTCGCGGGGTGGGTCGCGGGTGGGTCGCGGGGGGGACGACGACAAACAACAGCAACAACAACAGCAACAGCAACAACAACAGCAACAACAACAATCATTTTAAGACTGTTCGCTCTTATCCGCTCGCGTGGCATTCTATATGCATATCCCAAACCCTGGATACCCGCCCTCTTCATCTTCGATCGTACCCCGTTTTGGAGGTATATTCATTCCCTGCCACGTGTGGTTGGTGAAGCCTTTGAAAACGGAGGGTAACAGATAACGGGGGATAATTGAGGACGAAAGGACCGGAGGAAGGGAGGGGAGGGGCAAGAAGGAGGGAGGACGATGATTTGCGCTGCGAGTGGCGACTCAGCCTGCGCCATGGCTTGCGCCAGCCACTCCAACACAGGTTGCGAATAAGTTTCGCTTTGGGTCGCGCCATAAACAGCGCCACGTACCACCGCCTTGAAAGAACATATCGTGGATACCCCCACGGGGGGACGTACAGTTGCGAACTAGTGTCAGAGACAAACTTCGTGGAACCTTGAAGAGAAACGGGATGTTGGGAGAGTGGGGCGGAAGGATAATGAGAACTGCAGAGGTGTCGAGAGGAACGCGGAAGCCCCAAGTGAGAGCGCGATTCTTCAATACATTGTGAGGAAGTATCAAACGGGAGCCGCGATCTGGTGGTAAATTCCAAGGAAGTCCCAAGCGACAGCGCGATTCTTCAATACATTGTGAGGAAGTATCAGGCGGGAGCCGCTGTTGAATTCTCATTCTTAAAGAATAAGTATTGTTGATCCCCCCCCCACCGGTGCACATTGAGTTTTTTCCATTGAAGTTCCCCCTTCGGGGCTCGCACTTTGTTTCTTGTCAAGGAAAGTCTTCCTGCTCAAACTGGCCCCCTGGCCCCCGGGTTACAACAAAAACGGCTCCCGCCTGAGACTTCCACACAATTTAGCCAGGACCCCGCTCCCGCCCGAGATTTCCTCGCATTTTATTCAAGAATCGCGCTCTCGCTTGGGATTTCCTTACGATTTATTCAGGAATTGCTCCTCCTGCGCTCTGGAGTCGCGCTTTCGCTGGAGACTTGCAATTTACTGAAGGATAGCGCCCTTGCGTTGGAATTTCTTGCAATTTACTCCAGCGCCGCGCTCCCGACACCCAGGCACCCAGGAGTCGCGCTCACGCTTTGGACTCCTTCACAAATTACCTAGGAATCGGGATCTCGCTGCCCTTCGTGGCCCCGTTGCAGCCCTTCGTGGCCCCCTCGCTTTGTTTCGTGGCCCCGTTGCAGCCCTTCGTGGCCCCCTCGTTTTGTTTCGTGGCCCCGTTGCAGCCCCTCGTGGCCTCCTCGTTGCCCTTCGCGGCCCCGTTGCGGCCCTTCGTGGCCTCCTCGCTTTGTTTCGCGGCCCCGTTGCAGCCCTTCGTGGCCCCATCGTTGCCCTTCGTGGCCCCGTTGCAGCCCTTCGTGGCCCCGTTGCAGCCTTTCGTGGCCCCCTCGCTTTGTTTCGTGGCCCCGTTGCAGCCCTTCGTGGCCCCCTCGCTTTGTTTCGTGGCCCCATGTATGTATGCCCTTCGTGGCCCCCGCTCGTTCGCGCCCGTGGTGGCCACATATGCATGCCCTTCGTGGCCGCGCTGTCGCCTTTCGTGGCCCCCTCGCTGCCCCTCGTGTCCCCGTTGCTGCCCTCAGTGGCCCCGTCCGTACCCTCCGCGGCCCAACATACGTATGCCCTTCGTGGCCCCCGCTCGTTCGCGCCCGTTGTGGCCCCATGTGCATGCCGTTCGTGGCCCCGCTGTCGCCGTTTGTGGCCCCCTCATTTTCCTACGTGGCCCAAGTGCTACCCTCAGTGGCCCCATCGTTGCCTTCTGTGGCCCCGCATTATCTGCCCTTCGTGGCCCCCGCTCGTTCGCGCCCGTTGTGGCCCCATACGCATTCCCTTCGTGTCCCCGCTGTCGCCCTTCGTGGCCTACTTCGTGTCCTTCGTGGCTCTGCTGTCGTTCTCTCTCGCTCTCGCTTTCGCTCGTCGTCGTCGTCGCCGTCGCCGTCGTTGCCGTCGTCGTCGACGTCGTCGTCGTCGTCGTCGTGGTCGGTCCCCTGTCCGTCCCTCTTGGGGTCGGGTCGACGGTCCGCGGCCGCCCCGCCGATCAGCGCTGCCGCTGGCCAGGCCGACGGTCCGCGGCCGCCCCGCCGCTTGCCGGGGCCCGGCCTGCAGGGAAGAAAGGTATAACCCCCAAAAGGGGTTCGATCGAAGACGAAAAGGGCGGGTATCGAGGGTTTGGGAAATTCGCGTTATTCGACACTCGAGCAGATAAGGGCGAACAGTCTTAAAATGATTGTTGTTGTTGTTGTAAACCGGGGGCCAACGACACAGTTTGACCTTCAAGACTTCCCTTGATAAAAAAAAACAGGGTGCGAGCCCCGGGAAGGGCACTTCAATAGAAAAACAATGTGCAGCGGAGGGGGGGGATCAACAATAATTACTTTCCAGAAGTGAGAGTTCGACAACAACAACAACAACAACGACAACGACAACGACAACGACAACAGCAACAACAACACCAACAATCATTCCAAGACGGTTCGCTCCTACCAGCCCGCGTCTCATTCATTATGCATATCCCAAACCCTGGATACCCGCCCTTTCCGTCTTCGATCGTACCCCCTTTTGGGGGGTTATATTCCTTCCTGGCCACGTGTAATTGGAGAAACCCTGGGCGGGACCTCTGTGGGCGCGTTCGGGGCCTCTGTGGGCTGCGGCGGGGGCCTCTGTGGGCAGCGTGGCGGGGCCTCACTGGGCGCGTCTGAGGCGGGAGCCGGTGTTGTTGCAGCCAGGGGCCCGGGGGCACAGTTTGGCCCGGATGACTTTGCCTGTCAAATACACAGGGTGCGAGCGTGGAGGGGCGCACTTTGACTGAGAAAAAACAATGCGCACAGGTGGTGGGGACCAAAAGAAATCATTCTTCAGGAATGAAAGTTCAACATCAGCTGACGTGCGAGGGAGAGGAAATCGGAAGGAGGGGGGAGGCGGCCCGGGAGGAGGGAGGAGCAGGAAAGTCAGAGTGCGAACGTTCGAAAAAATCCTAGGCGAAAGCGCCATTCCACAAGGAAGTCTCGGACGGCAGCCCACGACGGGCGGGCGATCCTTTGACGGGCGGGTCGTGCGGGTGGGACATTCAAGCGGGATGCCGGAGTAGGGCGAGAGCGCGATTCCTAAGTAAAGTGTGACGGCGTCCTTGGCGCGACCGTGGTGCCGGAACGTAGATAGCGCGAGTTTCGAATAAACTGCGAAAAAATCATAGGCGAGAGCGCAATTCCTGAAAAGGGGATGTCTGGCGGGAGCGGGGGTCTAGACTAAAGCGCAAGGAAATCTTAAGCGGGAGCGCCGTTCTTGCGTAAATTGTGAGGAAGCTTCAGACGGGAGGGGGGGTCCTGATTAAATTGCGAGGAAGTCAGGCGGGAGCGCCGATCCTGAGTAAATTGGGAGGAAGTCTCAGGCGAGAGCGGGGGTCCAGAGTAAAATTTAAGAAAGTTTCAGGCGGGAGCCGTTGCTGTTGTAGTCTGGGGGAGCAACAAGGCAGTTTTACCCATATTAAATTGTGAGGAAGTCTCAAGCGGGAACGCCGTTCCTGAGTAGATTGGGAGGAAGTCTCAGACGGGAGGGGGGGGGGTGAGTAGATTTGGAGGAAGTCTCAAGCGGGAGCCGTTGTTGTTGTAGTCCGGGTTGTCAAAGAACATAATGCGAGCGTCGAGGGGCACAGTTTGACAGAGAAAAACCAATATGCACCGGTGAGGAGGGATCAACAATAATTGTTCTTCAGAAGTGAGAGTTCAACAACAAAAAACAAAGCAACAATAACAACAATAAAAACAAGACTAACAACTCAACAATCATAATCTTCACCACGGAGTTTCACTTCAGCCACGCACCCACGGAAAATGAATGACCGTTCGGCCCCCTCACTCTGATATATATCGATATATATATATATACACACATATATATATATAGCACCCCGCAGATGCGGATAGGAGTGAGGGGGCGGTGGGGACGTCGGCAGTCTGCGAGACTCTGGAGAAACCCGTCGCAGGCGCCAAAGTTTCACAAATTATACAACGAGCCCGCCGCAGGCGCCGATTTTTTCTTCAAACCAATGTGGATCCGTCGCGGGTGGGTCGCGGGTGGATCGCGGGGTGGGTCGCGGAGTGGGTCGCGGAGTGGGTCACGGCGTCCACGACGGCCCAAGAGGCCTCCCAGATCACCCCAAGACGGCGCAAGAGGTTCCCCGACAAGAGCCCCGACGCCCCAAGAGGGCCCCAGGGCGGCCCAAGAAGCGCCCAAGACGGCCCGGGAGGGGCTCTCGAGCTCAAGCCGTGTGGGCCCAGTCCCGCCGCGGGCGCGCACAGCCCCGCCGGCCTCGGGCGCTCACCGCGGGGCAGCTGTTCCCCACGGGAGAGGCGCCCCGCCGAGGGCCTGCTGGGAGGGCGCGATGGACGAGGCGACCCCCAGGGCCTCCCGGAGGCAGGCCCGGCCCGCCGCCCGCACGCCCGTGAAGTTTGGCCGCGGTGCGCCAGGCAGCGAGTCGCAGGGCCCCGAAGCGGCGCCGCACGGCGGCGGGCCGGCCATGGACGTAGGCCTGTTCTACGCCTTCGGCCAGTGCTCGCTGAAGATGGAGGCGTGGCACCACATGGGGCGGGACTTCGAGCTCAGGGACGAGGCGGCGAAGACGGTCTGGCCAGAGTACGAGAGGCTTGCCATGCGGAACCTTGGGAGCAACGAGAAGTGGGTGCCCTGGCACACGGTCCTGGGCGTGCACGAGCTCTTCCTCGTCAAGTCCGTGCACGGGGCCAGCGTGCCGTGGTGGACGGACTACCACCGCTTCGTTGCCATGTTCTTGTTCCGCTGCCATTGCAAGATGGACCTCTTCCTGGAGGTCCAGATGCCGCACCTCTCAAAGAAAGCATTCTGGCACGACTTGGAGGCGAGCTTCGCGCCAGACTCCCAGATGGAGAAGGACATTGCCACGTTCCGCTCTTCCACTGGCAAGGCGCTGCAGACCGCCTGTTTCTTGATAATCCCAGAGCGGTTGCTCAAGGACGACGACGCGAACCTCATCCGCAACATAGTCTTGCGATCACAGCGACTGATCGGCTTGGCCAACCACTTATGGCCTCTGGTGAACGACGTGAAGACCAGCGTCAACGAGAAGTACGACGCAATCAAGGAGGCCATCCGCGGCGTGAGGAACCTGGGCGACACCTGGGTGAAGATGCTGATGGTCTGCATGGACATCTGCCTGCCCAGGCTGGGGCTCCTCAGCACCCGGTGCGAGGTGGGCGTGGGTGCCGCCGACCCGCTGCGGAAGTTGCTGGTGGAGGAGGGCAGGGCTGGACCTAAACGGTGTTTTGGCGATTTCGTGGGCCGTCTTCGTTTCGATTTCGTTTTGCGGCCAAGGCGAATCGAAGACAAAGCGAGGGAAAACGAAAACGAAAAACACCGTTCAGGCTCAGCCTTGGAGGAGGGGCTGCTCGCGCCTCCCCCTCCGCCGAGGCCCAAGGTGGGCACGGGCCTCGCGGACCGGGGGCCCGCCGGCGAGGCGGTCCGGGTGGAGGTCAGCCTGCGTGCCGGCGTCGCCGCCGTCAAGAGGAGCGGCGCGCAACTCAGCTCGAAGGAGAAGCAACGTCACAAATATCAACTTTTGCCGCTCCGCGCGGGTTTCCAGAATCCGCACTGGGCCTCCCCGGCGGCGCCTCCGGCGCCGCCCGCGCGCCAGGGAGGGGGGTCCGGCGCAGATCCGAAAAGTCCGCGCGGAGCGCCAAGAGTTAATGTTTGTGGCGCTCTTCTCTTCTTCTATCATCCAGGTCACGATGGGCATGGCCGGCAGCCTCGACAAGGCGCATGCCGTCGCCGAGGAGCTGAGGAAGTTAGCGGTGGCGCGGGGCTTGCAGCGGGAGGACCAGGAGGTCCTGAGCAAGAGGAGGCAGGAGCTGTTCGCCGATGCCTCCCTCGAGGTGCCGAAGCTCGACCTGGACGCGAAGCGCGAGGAGCTCATCGCAGGGGGAGTCCCCCCGCCGCGGAAGCGGGAGGGGGCCAGCCCCAGCGACGCGCTGATGGCGCTCGGCGCTCGCATCAACGAGTCAGACGTCCCCTCGGCGAGGCACTTCTGGAAGCTCCTGGCCGAGGTCGAGGAGCACGGCAGGAAGCACTTCGGAAACTGCCCCTTGATCGTCGCGCAGATGAAGACCGAGGCCGGGGCCATCCACGCCGCCACCCTCCAGGTCCAGCTCTGCGAGTTCCGGCAGTTCGAGAGCTTCCTGCGGCAGCCCGCCGGCAAGCGGCCGCGGGCCGACGGCGGCCGGGCGGAGGCCGCGGCAGAGGGCGGCGGCGAGCCGCGGCAGGCGAGGAGGCCCCGCGCGCGCGGCGGGCCGGCGCCCCGGAAGCGGCCGGCGGCGGCCCGGGGGCCTCTGGGCGGCAGCCGCGAGGCGGAGCGGCGCGACGACACTCCTAGGGGGAACGAACACTGACATAAATCAGGAGGGAAAGAAACACACAGACACAATTAATCGTCGACTCCCTGGAAAATATGGGAACATATGGGAAGTGGGGGGGAAGACAAAGACCTAGAAAATATGGGAAAATATGGGGATATTTTTATTTGTGTGTATTTATTTGTGTGTCCCAGTTCCCCTTCACTAAACACAAAAGCTCGGAGGTCCGCGCGGATTTCTCGGATCGGCGCTGGGGCCCCCTGGAGGCGCCTCCGGCGCCGCTCCTGGCGCGCGCCGCGCGCCAGGGAGGGGGGTCCAGCGCCGATCCGAGAAGCCCGCGCGGACCTCCGAGATTTTATGTTTATGCCAGGGCTCGTTCCCCTACACTCGGCTCCATGAGGTCGTCGTCGTCGTCTCAGACTCAGACGCGGAGGCAGACGCCGCCCAGTGAGGGGGGCGAGCCTCACGGTCCCTCTCTGCGGCCCCTGGCCTCGGCTGCTCTTGGCTGGTCTTCTCGGGTGAGTCGCAGCGGCGCGGGTGCAGGCGGCGCGGCAAGGGGGGAGGGCGCTGCGGGGGGGACCGTATCGCCCAGAGAGCGGCAAGAGAAAAAGAAGAAGAGAGGGCTTTCAGAGGCCCCCAGAGGGGTCCAAGAGGAGGGACTCGACTTGAGATTTCGAGCCCTCCGCCCCAAGAGGGCCCCCGAGACCGCCAGCAGGCCCAAAGGACGCCCCAAAAGCTTTCCAAACGGCCCCCAAGACGGCCCAAGAGGCCTCCTGACAAGGCCCAGATGCCCTGACCTCGCAACTCACAAACGACCGCGCGCCATAGCCGTCCCGACACGATCAGATTCCCAACCGAGGAACCAATTAGTACGGCGACGGCCAGGAAGTCAATCCATTGTATGTGTTTGTTTAGGGCCCAAGAGCGGATGTTGCAAGCCTTCGGCCCCAAGACGCCCCCAGGAGGCCACAGGGAAGCTTCAAAAAAAGCCTTCAAGAGGCCCCGAAAAGGCCCCAAGAGGCCCCCAAGAGCCCCTGGGGAGCAGTGATTTTGTACATGGCCGTTTCGGACCCGTCGGGGAGCGCCAAAACGCATCAAAGGAGGGAAGAAGGGGCGACGAGAGGGCCAAGATAGACCAAGACCGCCCAAGAGCGTTCCAAGATGGCACAACATGGCTTCAAGACAGCCCGCGAGGGCCTCAAGACGGCCACGAGGCCCTCAAAATGAGTACCACGAGGCCCTCAGGAGGCGAAACATTACTTGTTGTGCGGTGCTTAAAGCTTTTCCGTGTTCTGTTTGTTTCATGCTTTCGACGGGCCAAAACAGCCCCACAAGGATTTAGAAATCGGCCCAAGCGGCTCCCAAAGAGGGCCCCAGGACGGCCCAAGAGAGTCCCAAGACGGCCCAAAGGCGCTCCAAGACGGCCTGAAGAAGGCCCAGAAGGCCTCAAGAGAGGTCCAAGCGGGCCTCAAGAACCCTCCAAGAGAGCCTCGACAATGTTCCAAGACAGCCAAAGCCATCCAAGACGTCCCGAATAGGTCCCGGGACGGCCAGAGAGGGCGTGAAGTGGCCAAAAAAGCCCCAAGAGGACACCCAAGAAGGCCCGGAGACGCTAAATGCATAGACGTTGCTCCAGTTCTTGTGTTTCATCACGTGACGAGTTCCAAACGCCAAGGATCCCAAGTGCGGACGGTGTTGTGAGCTCAAGACGGCTTAAAGAGATCCCCGAGACGCCGAAAAGATGCCCTCGAGGCGGCCCAACTGCTGGTCCAACTGCCACTGATGCCTTCTGCCTCCTCATCTCCCTCCCCGTCCCCGTCCTGCGGTCCTCGGAGAAACAACGTCGCTTCGAGATGCGTCCAGCCGCGGCGACGACGAGAGCCCCCGACGCCCGAAGGTTAAAAGACCTCGGACCTCGATCCTCGAGACACGATGCTCGCCTTCCTTCAAAGCAACGTGCGATACCCTTTTCCTTTCTCTCCTCGCCCTCTTCGTTCTCTCCCTTATCATGCTTCATCCTCTCTCTCTCCTCTCCCTTCTCACCTTTCTCACCCTCTTCCTCCTCACCCTTCTGACTTTGGGAGCTCGCTGACAATGCGCTCATTTATTTGTTCTCTATCGTCCCGAGCGCATCGCAGGCGAAAAAACACAATTTAATCGATTGATGCTCCGCGAGAGGAGAGTGCAGGGTTAACGGCGATTGGGATTCATCGCACAACATCTGTGTGGACATAGCAGGAGGGTACCACCTGCTGATTAATCATGGTTGATCGAAGTTGCTTTGCACTCCGATGCTGCATAACTTAGACCGTCGCCACATCATGCTAGAACCAAATCACGCGCGCAGCGCGCGCGCAGCGCGCGCGTGGTTCTAGTATATATGTGTGTGTGTGTGTATGACATCGTTGTCTTACGATTTAGGTATCATTATATTGTTTTCTAAGGAATGCTTCGCATACGGTGCTGGTGGTGTTTTTGAAGGCCTCGTAAACATTTAGCGTACGGGAGCGCACAAACAATCCTTCCTCACCCTGGCAGTTCACTAGTTTCGTGCAGCGACTGTGGACGTCGCTGTGCAAGCACGCTTTCTGTCTAAGGGGCCGCGTGGTGTGGCGCGGTCTCCTCGGACCTCTCAACCACCACAGGGGAATCCGAACAGCGGTGGCTGGGCCTCAGCTCGCTGGAAACAATGGGAACACCAAAAGGGGTGCAGGTAGCAGTTCCAGGGCGTCTGGGTTTGATCACCCCCCCTCCCTGTTATCACATCCCGTCCTGGGTCTTGGTTTGAAGCCTCACGGCTGCCTCATGGGATCTCATTTGAAACTCCATTGCCGCCTCATGGGTACCTTTTTGACCCCCAGGTGGAAACGCGGGTCCCTGTTTGAAACCTCAAGACCTGCTCATGGATTTCTTCGTGTGCGATTTCAGAAGCTGCTTACTTGATGGCCAAATGCTCTCTCACGAAGGTGCTGCTCCTTGGGGTCAGATGCAGTCCCCTCCCCCGCCCCCCGGGACGAGGAGGAGGAGGGAGAGGAGAAGAAGGAGGAGGACGAGGAGGAGGAGGAGGAGGAGGATGAGAAAAAGGGGGTAACCAGGATGAGGAGGGAGGAAAAAACAGGAGGAGGAGGAGAAGGATGACAATCTCGAAAGATACGGATGGAGCGTTTCAGAAGGTAGAAAGGACGATGGGGAGGGACATGCAGACTGACGAAAGATTGAGGAGCAGGGGCAAGGAGCAAATGAGTCAGGGGAGTTCTTCTTCAGAGACGTATCGGGTAATAACGAAGGCTTCGCCGCTCCGCCATGGTCAAATAATGGCAGTCGCGGAGCTCAGCTTTCTGATCATAGCATCGTTGATCTGATTGTTGCAGTGCTTGGACGGGGTGGTATAGCCCAACAGCAGTTTTGAACATCCTCTTTTGAAAAATCCAGATACCACCCATGGGCTATACCACCCCATTCCACTGCTCCATTCTGGCGCGATGTAGGATTGCTTGGAGGCAAGAGTCATAGTGATTTACGGCGTGTACGTTCCAGGAACGGCGTTCTGGCGCGGTTTAGGGTTGCCAGGACGCGACAGTCACGCTGATTCGCGGCGTTGAAGTCCCAGGAATTGTGTTTTGGCACCGTGAGGATTTTCAGACGGTCGCCTTTGAATGGTTTTTCCCGAAATGAACGTAGACTCTTGTGGAGACGTATGAAGAGGGAATTTGAAGGGAAGCTCGCCCAGTGTCAGGGCAGGTGCCGACGGGGATGCAATGCCGGCCGAGCCTGCCCAGCCCGCCCAGGCCCCTCGGGGTGACGGGGGGTTGAGAGGCTTGTACTTGCAGACGGGATGATCCTTGGAGGGCGCTGGCCCGCCGAATCCAGCTGCGTTGGCCCACAGGTTCGTCGGGGTGGCGGCGCTCGCGGCGGGGCGGTCATAGCCCCGCGGGGCATTATCCTAGTTTGCGGGTCCAATCGTGACTCCCCTGCCCCCTTCGAACTCGCCAGCAGCGATGTCCCGTCGTCGTCGTCGTCGTCGTCGTCGTCGTCGTCGTCGTCGTCGTCGTCGTCAACGTCAACGTCAACGTCAACGTCAACGTCAACGTCAACGTCAACGTCAACCAACGTGGTCGTCGTCGTCGTCGCCGTGCATCCCCTCCCCTGCCCGCCTGGGACATCTCGTTCTACCAAACCTTCTTCCATCCAATCCTCATCCTCGCGTCCCCTCCTCCGCCCGCCCAGGAAAATCTCGTGTCTTATCCTCGTCCTCGCCACAGTCGTCGTCCTCGCCGTCGTCGTCGTCGTCGCTGTCCCTCTTCCTCCCGCCCAGGAACATCTCGTTATCCTCCCCTCCCCTGTCCTGATCTCATTATCGTTGCACGTTGTACGCCTCCGTCCACAGGTCCATGCGACGCACAGAATTGGGCAAAAAGTTGATGGACGAGGGGCCCAGGGAAAAGGACGGCCGACAGGATAGAGGAAAGAGGGAAGGGAGAGATACAGTAAGTTCGCGACGTGTCGACTGGCGGCGACTTCGCCGCCAGCGTTCAACGTTGAACGCCGCTGGGGACCCAGAATTGGTCGATCTTGAACGATCTGACGTTTCGGAAACGGCCGATCGTTCAAGGTTGAACGATCCCCTCGGTGTCAGAAACCAACCCCGAGGTCGACACGACACGAACTCGCACGCAGTACGTTTGCAACCCCGAAGCACCCGCCAAAGGTCCGATCCACCCAGAGGTCCCCGTGGGCCGCGGAGGTCCCCAAGAGGTCCATCTGGAGGCACTTGGGGAGGCTTCCAGAGGCCTGGCGAGGGCCAAATTCGTCCGAAGTCCTCTGCCTCAACCCGTCAGGGTCGAGGGCAGTACTTCGGAGCCCGCCTTCTCGTCGTCGTCGTCGTCGCCGCCGCCGTCGTCGTCGTCATCGTTGTTGTCGTCGTCGTCGTCGTCGCCGCCGCCGCCGTCGCCGCCGCTGCCGCCGCCGCCGTTGCCGCCGTCGTGCGTGGGAGGTCGTCGGCTCCGTCATCTCGGAGCTCGTGTCGTGCGACGAGCCTGGCGTACTGCCCGAGGATGCGGCGGGTGGTCAGCAAGAGGAGGAGGAGGAGGAGGAGGAGGAGGAGGACGACGAGGAGGAGGACAAGGGGGAAGAAGAAAAAGAAGAGGAGGAAAAAGAGGAGGAGTTGGAGGAGGAAGAGGAAGAGGAGGAGGAGGAGAAGGCGGAGAAGGATCGAGGCACTGCCCAGCCAGCCGGGCCCTCCCTCCTCATTTGCCCTGCGCCCTCTCTCCCCCCCGCTCGTTAGGGGGCGCACCCATGCCATGGCCTCGGATCCAGGGCGCCAGTGCCGCACTCGGAGGGGAGGGAGGCGCCCCGTGGGCGACACGAACGGCCCCGACGGCGACGACGACGAAGATCCGCGCATGGGGGTCTCCGCCTCCCCTCGCGACCGCACGCGCATGCATGGATTCAGGAGGGAAAGAAACACACAGACACAATTCATCGTCGAATCCCAGAAAATATGGGAAAATATGGGAGGTGGGGGGGAAGACAGAAGTCCAGAACATATGGGAAAATATGGGGAATCCTTTTATTTGTGTGTATTTATTTGTGTGTCCCAGAGCCCCTTCATTGATGTATACGCATGAACTGTATGCGTGCAGTGGTGCAGGCTACTTTGGTCGACGAGTAGGTAGTGTTCGTCTTACTGGGCAGCTGTACATCGCGACTGCGCGCGACTGCGCGCGCGTGCGCGCGGTGGCGTCCAGTTCTCGCGCGCGGTGTGAGGCTGACTAGCCTCATGCTGGCTCCCAGGATCCCAAATTTACAAGTTGTTATTCTCACGCGGTTTCGGGGGTGACACGTGTCATCAGTTGTTCTCGTGAGGCTGAATGGCCTTGTGTTGGCTCCAGGGTCCCAACTTTACACATTGGTTGTTCTCAGGTGGTATCGGGCCCAACACGTGCCATCCGTTGTTTTTCTCTGAAGCTGAATAGCTTTATGTTGGCTCCCAGTCCCAAATCTAAGATTGTTTTTTTCTCGGACGTTTTCGGGTGAGAAAGTGCTATCGGCCCGCTTCGGTCCGCCAAACTGCTTGCCACCCCCCTCTGTGCCACCACCACCACCACCACGGTTACCGTCTGACGCCCCCAAATTATGTGTTTTAGGGCAATGCGCGTGCTGATTTTCCCGTGGGGTGGAGGGCCTGTCGATTAGAAATCACAGATGTGCCCGTCGTCCGTGCCAACGCTACTAGTGTGTTAACCTACAAGCATCACGCCGCGATTGCGTCGCAATCCTAGTTGGCGGTGTCAGGCGCCGACGTTGCCCATTCGTTCGGGAACCGAAACAATGATGGCAGTGGCTTCGTTTTAGAAAACAATATATGTGGGAGGCATTTTGGCACCGATCACCGCCCTCATCGTATTCATTGTTGCCGCTGTCGTCGTGCTCCTCCTCCCACCCACCCCCGTCGCCGTTTGGGATCAAACGCACCGCAATTGTGCGGGTAACAACCCACGCAGGTCCGCAGGTCCGCAGCCAATGTAGATCACACAGACACGTAACCATTATGCGATGTGATAAATCGAACGGGCGATATCGATGCAGAGGTACTGGAGGATATTGCTATGATTATACATGAAAAGAAACTTGGCTCCCACTTTCACGATGGCAGATTGTCATATCGCGACGTTGCTCTTTTGATCAATGTTCTTCTGGCTTCCACAGTTTGCGATGCGATGCCACGCGAATCAGGTGTGCGGAAACTGGTCGGCCGAGTGAAAGCTTTTGTGCGGGATCATCCAGGGCGGGGTGCCTTGAACCGAGCTCATGTCAGCGTGCAGATGTTTCCAGCGCTGCTTGAACAGTTTTGTGAAATCCGTCTCGGCACCAGGGGGCTCGATTACATCGGCGACAATATAGAATACCAGCCGCAACCCAAACGAAACGCACGACAAAGATCCAACGCAGAGCCTGGAGGTGCTGTGGCGTCGCATCAAGGCAGCGTGGCTGCTTCAACAGTGGTTGAGTCAATTGTAGATTACAAAGATTTCAAAGAAGACGAACTGAGATTGGCACCTACCCATGAAGATCAACAGTTACAGGCCCTCACTCGGGAGGCCCCTGATTTGGCGAGGGCTCGCAACTATTTCCCTACCTAGGCTCTGCCTAGAAGGGTTCTTACTCTCTTAGCTTAAAGGGGCCGGGCAATGGAAATCGCCCCGGGCGGTTCCCCCAGTCCCCGCCCCGCGGTTCCCCCAGTTGCGCCCCCTGGGTTCACCCAGCTCAGCTTAGCTTCAGCTTCGTTTTAGCTTAGCATTAGCTTAGCATTAGCTTAGCTTTAGCTTAGCTTTAGCTGTAGCTTAGCTTTAGCTTAGCTCCAGTTTAGCTTTAACTTAGCTTTAGTTTAGCTTCAGCTTAGTTTCAGCTTAGCTCTAGCTTAGCTTTAGCTTAGCTCTAGCTTAGCTTCAGCTTAGCTTCAGCTTAGTTCCAGCTTAACTTTAGCTCTAGCTCTAGCTGTAGCTTAGCTTTAGCTTCGCTTTAGCTGTAGCTTAGCTGTAGCTTAGCTTCAGCTTAGCTCGACCTTAGCTTTAGTTTAGCTTTAGTTTAGCTTCAGCTTAGTTTCAGCTTAGCTCTAGCTTAGCTTTAGCTTAGCTCTTGCTTAGCTTCAGCTTAGCTCTAGTTTAGCTTTAGCTTAGCTTTAGCCGAGCTTTAGCTTAGCTTTCGCCTAGCTTTAGCTTAGCTCTAGATTAGCGTTAGCTTAGCTTCTGCTTAGCTCCAGCTCAGCTTTAGCTTAGCTCTAGCTTAGCTTTAGCTTAGTTTTAGCTTTAGCTTAGCTTCAGCTTAGCTTTAGCTTAGCTTCAGCTTAGCTGTAGGCTTGAGCTTAGCTCTAGCTTAGCTTCAGCTTAGCTTTAGCTTATCAAGCTTTTAGCTTAGCTTTAGCTGAGCTTTAGCCGAGCTTTAGCTTAGCTTCCGCCTAGTTTTAGCTTAGCTTTAGCTTAGCTTTAGCTTAGCTTTAGCTTAGCTTTAGCTTAGCTTTAGCTTGGCTTTAGCTTAGCTTTAGCTTAGCTTTATCTTAGCTTTAGCTTAGCTTTACTGTTACTTTTAATCATGCTTTCCTAAGGGCTCCAACTCCTAGGCAGGGTCGCGCTGGGATAACTTTTTGACAGGTGTCAGCAACTAAAGCGCGAGCTGGCAACTGAACGAGGAGCACGTGCGTCGTTCGCGTCTCGGGCCAGCTGCCGCCCTGGGTTGCGAAACGCCAGCACTTTTGGCGGCTATAGTCTGGCCCTCAAACGAGCCGCTGGGCATGCCAGCGCGGAGGCTTCAATGGTCACTGCGCGTGGCAGCGTGGAGCATGGTGGGTTTTCAAAACCAAAAAAGATTGTCACGAGATGCGAGCAGAGGGCATGCGTAGCTCAACGGCTGAGTTTTACGCCCCGCTACAAACATTTCGGCGCGACCGCAATGGGCCGCAACAGTTCAGCCGAGGCCCGCCCCCGTCTGGAGATATTTGCATATGGAGGGGACGCTGCGAACCAAGAGGCGATCGACAATAATAATATACACGCTGGCGTAGTGGATTCAATATGAAGCTCGCCTGGATCGGATTGCCAATGCGAGACCTTTGCACCAGCATCGCTTTGTGATTTGCAGCTGGTCGCGGGCTCAACGAGGGCTGAGACGCGCGCGAACGCACTGCAAGAGTTCGCGTCAATCGGCGCCCCTTCGTGGATTTAGCGGAAAAGGGAATCGACGGGGCACCCGAAGCGGATTACGTTGAACCAGTCCGGATTGGATAATGGCCATGACAACCAAGGTTTTACATCCCACGTCGTTTCATCTTTTGATGACGTCATGAATGTCATGGTCCACGCGTGCTGGTGCAATCTGCACCACATGCAACTGATATTGAAATCAATGCTGGTTGTGCTGGATGGTGCCAAATGGGATTCCCGTGAACTGCCTACAACATATTTTACGTCGGTGCCCGTCGGTGTCGGATCTCTGGCGAAACCTTGGCGTTGGCAGAACAATGTTGGACGTGTGCTCAGACTTGCGACTATGCGGGGAACGGGAAGCGCACGTCGTTCTCGGTAGATTGCCTTGGCGGTGTTTGCGGGCCAGGTGGGGATCAATAGACTGCGCGGAGAATGCGATGATCAAATCAATGAAGTATCTTGGGGCTGTCATGTCACAATTTTGGCCGTTGAAGGCGGCGGATGCAGAGCCAGCAAGTGCGAAGACCGCCTGGGCGGGCGAATATGCTGAATGCAGTGTTAACCAACGAAACTACCGCATTAATGCAACCAAGTGTACCAACGACGTCTTATGGAAACCACTTCTTCTGATTTCGAACGCAGCCAGGAAACCCGTGGTGAATATGTTGTTTGGGTCCAAAAAATGGGAAACTGAGCGCGGCAACAACGCGGCGAAGAGCGTCTCAGACAATCTAGAGCACATGGGGCCTACGCCCATGAGTATGTTCGTGCGCGCCAAATCAAATCTGGTTATGGAGTTGGCGCAAATGGTTTCTGATGCGTCTCTATCGGCGATGGCGGGGTCTGGGAGGAAGCCTTGGATATGCTGCCGCCCGTCCGTCGTCCAGAAGGGGCCATTCTCATTTTGAACTTGATGTTTGTTGCGATTTCTTTGTGGCAACGCAGAGTGATGGGCGCGGTCAACTGCGCGCCGTATTTGTTGCTGTGGATGTTGGAATCCCCAAGCGACTGTCACGATCCTCATCGGGGACACATAGCGAATTTACTTATGACGTCCAATGACTGTTGTCGTCGAACCTCCCGCTACTCAGATGTTGCGCACAGGGTGAAGCACGTTTTTCAAATGGGCCTCGATGAGGCGCGACGCACAGGAATATGCCCCCTGCGCTGCACAATGTTTTACTCACGTGGAGGAGTCGACTCAAGATGGGCACCCGACACGTCGAAGGATTCAGGTCAGTGTTGCAAAGCATGACAAGTCGCGCGCACGATATGGATCGAATGCTGGCCACAGCCCGCACGAGCTTGAAACTTGGGAACCATGATATCACAGTCGACAAGCGTTGCGCGC